CAGCCCTTCGGGAGCCCTGTGCGAGCGGGGTTCCACCAGCACGCGAGTTACACCAGTGGTGCGGTGCCACCGCTGCCCCCCGGCTCCTCTGTGTCAGCAAGGGAGAAAAATCAAGAAGTAAAAAAACTTTCAAATTTCCACCTGCATTCAAGGTCAATTAAGGAGCAATTGCTTGGACATCAGTCCTGATGGAAAAAAAAAACAAAAACACCAACAAAAAATGCCCAAACTGACCAAAAAAAACCCAAAACCCACAAACAAACAAAACCAACAAAAAAAATCAAACCCACAATGGCTGGACTTCATGATCTTAAAGGTCTCTTCCAACCAAGATTATTCTATGATTCTAATATGTCGTAAGATTATCAAATGATAATCAAGAGGCAGGAGCTTTACAGAAAATACAACCTTATCACACTAACTCATGTCCACATTTTTTTGGCAATATTCCATACTCAGAAAGGTAATTTAGGTATTTATTTCTTGCGTCCTGCTCAGCTTTGATAAAAACTGGCATTCTGACATCAGTAAAACTCGTTAAGTACCCTTAAAAAGCAGCCCTGAAGTTGCTGGAAGAGACTCAGGGCCTCCTGAGCAGATCCCCAGCGTGTGGAACATCTGTCCCTGCCCAGTGCTCGAGCTCAGCCTGGGTTCATCCCTGGTGACAACACCCAGGTAATGGAAAGACTTTGAAATAAAGGCTTGTTTTGAGAATTATGGCTGGAACAAGCCACTTTATTTTCAGTGCATGCAAAAACGCATGGCCTGAAGGAAGGCAGCTCACTGGGAAAGACCCAGGTGGAAAAGACCCTTCAACGTTTCAGCCACAGGAGAACTGAGTCTCCCACTTACTCCTCCTCCTGTTTTATTACTCCTGACGTTCCTTGTACACGCAAAGCATTTTGGATGCTGTACCTAAAAATGCACCATGTCCACAAAAGCAGCTCTACCAGTTCCATCGGGGTCTTTCCCCCTCCACAGGGCTTAACCAGCCCAGGACACTTTGCCCCTAAGCCCAGACATCCACACAGCAGCGTTATGTCAGCAGCCACGGGTCCTTCACCCTCCAGCTCCACCAGGGAGCCACTCCCCTGCTCCCAGCACCGCCAAGCCAGCCTGGAACACACCAAGTGTGTGCAGTTCAGCCTCTGTCACCTCTGGCCATGCTCCCACTTTAGCAGGATGTGCCATGTTAGGTCTCCTATTGCCTACAAACCCTGACAAGTATCCTCAGCTAAGCAAGGAGTAGGAAATGTGGGATTTTGAAGGAATCAGGCAGATGAAAGCTGTACCTCCTTGACCACAAGCACCTCCTGAGCCCATAGCTTCAAACCATTATGACTTCTTACACTTTCTCCATTAATTTAGAAGCCAAATGATATTTAGAGGTTAGCCTTCTAACACCTCCAGCTCTTATCAGACATAAAAACATTGAGAACTATAAACATGAAAATAAACAGCTTCCCCAGAGCTGTGTTTGCTCTCCAGCAGTCTCAGATCAAGCCCAGCAGCTCTCTGGTGATATGTACTTGTGCACTGAGATGAATAAGCAACAGAGAGGAAGAAGACAAGACAAGCCAACACCAGAGGCTCCTAGTGTACAGTATCTGCTAGCAAAACAAGTCCTCCTCCTTGGCCTTTGCAGTGCATCCACACAGGAACATCACAGACAGAAATGCTCTAATTAAGGTATCACACGGCACATTAATTCTGTTCTCCAGTCCCCAGCCTGCTACCCTGGCTGGTGAGACTAGAGAGCCTTTTGGAGTTTAAGGACACCAAGCAAACCTCAAAAACAGCTTTGCCAACCTTGAAGGAAGCAAGAGAAGATTCCAGCTAAAACTAGTTCAAACTACCATCTATGAACCTACCTATTTTTTTTTTATTTATTTACCTATGAAACTATCTATTAAAATTACCATGCACCCATAGATGTCCAGCAAGCTTTCAGTACTCACTGGGAGTCCAACAGATGCCCCTCTGCTAGGGACAAGGGGCCAGGGCTGCTGCCAAAGCTGGGTCAGGCCTTGCTTCTGCATCAAAGCACATCAATAATTTTACACACACACGTTGCTTAACTCAATAAGACTTCCAAGCAACACAACAGCTTATTTCTCCCACCTATCCCAAACAAACAGCAGCTTCAGGGCACATAAAGAGTACGAAGCAGAGCAAGGAACTGACTTAACCTAATGACAACGAGCATTAATCATCTGTAGCTTGAACCAGGAACAAATCTCAACTATCCCTACATTACTGCAGCATTACAGTCCTCTTTGGGGTCTCCTACTGCACCACCAAATGGATAAACTCATCAGTGTGACTGTTCCCATTAAGAACAAAGCTCAACCCCCCCACCCCTCAAGAGCCACAGGCACCCAGGACACTGTGTAAGGGGAATACCACTCACAAGTCGGCATCAGAACTTCAGGTTTGTGATTTCTAGCTCTTTGTGCACAACCCTACCCCATTTTCCAGGAAGAGAAACATGTGGCAGTTACCTCTAACCATTTATTTAGATCTATGTACAGAGTCTCGTTGTGGAAGGTATGCACCACGCAGGCAAGGAAACCACAGAAAAGTCTCAGAAACAATATAAATTTGACTGATCTTTTACAAAAATGGGAATCGTCACCAGGTTATTTAATCTCTCAGGTATAAATATCATGAGGTAAGCAATACTTAAGATGAGGCACTTAAACAATAACCCAAAAGGTAATTAGTGTACAAAATTATAAACAGGAACAGTTATTCATATTGCCCTCCATTATATTTAAAAACCATTTATAGTCTATGTACAGTGTGTCAAGCTCCTTGTATCCCCCACAGGAGCAGATCAAGGATGGATGAAAGAAACCAAGTCCCCCCCACATGCCATGGCCCAGGACACAGGTAGACAAGCACCCCGGAGCATTCTGAGCCACACAGTGAACAAATGAGCACCCTCAGAATGTTTTTCTAGGCAGTCCCCAGCTCCCCATTTGGAGAAAATATCTGTGCTAACAGAAAGCGAACTCGGTATTAACACGCAGATTTGCCAAGCCAGAAGAGAACCACCCTACTGTGTTCAAGGCATGCCAATTAGGACAGGATTTAAGCCTTAGTGGGATTTACGGTAATTAAAATGTAACAAATTTAACTTTACAAAGAAATTAATTATGCCAATTAAAACACTTAGCAAGTTTTACCAGGAATTTATACAGTATTTTATGTATACGCTGCCGATCAATGCCCGATTTATTAAAATTACTGAGGGCACGCTTCCAAGACAATTTACTAAAGTAGTACAGGAATTCCAATTAAGATGTAAAATTAATATTTGCAATAAACATTTCCTTATCAAGATCCAGAGAGAGGAAGAAACACCCAATAAAAGAAACAGAATTGACGTTCAGGTGGGGCACAGCAACATCTAATCCCCAGAAGTGCACAGCTTGCTGGAGCCTGCCTGGGAAAGCAGGTCAGGATTTCCTAACAACATTCCAAACCCAACCCCTTTGGAAGGGCTCAGCATCCAATGGCCTGTGTCAGTGTGCCACTCAAGACAGACCCAAGCAGTCAGGGAGTGCTAACTCAAAACAGGCTGTTTGAGGGGGGGAGGGAAAGGGAGATTTCCAAAGCAGGTGAGGTTATTCCTATCCAAAAAACATACTTTGTGGGCACAACAATTCTAAGTTCACCCAGTCTCATAACGAAGTCACTCACTTCACTCTCAGGTGGCCACTGAAGGCCATCTATCTGTGTTTCTGATATCTGACATGCTGAACTTTGAACAATTGCACACTTCCTCTCATCCTCCATTTCTAAAGATAAGCCAGTTGAGTTTTGAGGTTTAAATGGAACAAAGGAAGAACCACAGCTACTAGAAAAACAATTAAACTTGGCAAAAGTAATGAATTTTATTTACAAATACATGTACGAGGATTACAACAGAAAGACACTAGGGAAATTCCATCTCAACAAAAGCAATGATTTATTGGTAATGGCATTAAATGAAACAGATTGACAGTCTCTGGTTATGGTCAAGCAATTATCCAGGAGTCGTAGATAAAAGTGAAGATCTCTTTGATTGCAATAAGGCCTTCCAGTGTCTTCTGCATCCTAATGGCTCTCTCCTTTTTTGCCAACTACCTGGTAAGAGAAAACAGAAATAATGTTTAACCAAATAAGTCCCACCAAGTATTCTTTAACGTGAGTCTCAAACTAAACAAGTGCAGCTGAGTTCTCCACTAAGTTAATGCATTTTGACATGCATTATTGTAGCACTTGCAGAAGCTGTGAATCCCTCTAAAGGGTTAAGAGGGATGCAAGACAGAGGGGAACCTTATCCTCAGCATTCACACAGACAGCAAAGCATGGTCTCAGTCTGAGCAGAGTTAGAAGACAGGAACTGCAACAGAACAGACCACACTTAAAGATGTGTTACACACCAAGCATTCAACCTTCATACACTAAAGATGTTGCAGTGGAAAGAGAACCACCAGGTGCTCAAACATAACTTTGTTCCTTTCCCTTGGTGGCCTTGCCGTGTACCTCACCGAGAACATTCACCTCACAGTGCAGCTCAAACCTATAAGGAAATCTGGAAGTCACCTGATATTCAGTTATTGCTTGTCAAAATATTTTTCCTTACCAAGTCTCCTTCCAATCTCCAATTCTGCAAACTCCACCTGGACTCAGTTCAGCTTAGGGCTCCCCTTTTCTGAAAAGATCACCACTGCCACCAGGCTCTGGCGAGTCGATCTGCCAGCCAACAGCAAGAGCACCTCCAGCACTCTCTACACTGCTCTGTGGGGTTAAAGTTAGTGTAGGTCACTGCAGAAGGGTCTCCAGTCCCCTTCCTCAAGATAACACAGAATCCCGAGAGCAGAAAACAAAGCATTTTTAGTCACTTCCTGAAAAGATTCAGACAATTCTTCTGCTCTTGCAGACCCTTGAAAAAGATATCTGAACTCAAATAAAAAAGGAAATAAGTCTTGAAGTTTAAGACTTCAAAGTGCAGGATGGACCCTGGGCAAGGCACCAATTCCCAATTAATTTGTCTGCCTCAAGAGCAGCACTTCCAGCTCTGGGGAGGCACAGTCAGAAGTCACCTGCACAGAGATTTGAAGGTGATGCTAATGGAGCACAGAATTTCCCATTATTGCTGATAATAATGCTGAAAACTAAGCAGTAAAACCTTTCTTGTACTCCAACTGACTGCTATAGCAAATGTGTGAGTATTATTTACCTCTGCAGTTAAGCCACAACATACCACACAAGGTTCATACAGTCAATGGTGAAATACAGCGCTAGGAGGAAAAAACAAACCAAACAAATCCCAGAAGACCCACACCCCCAAAACTAGGGAAGTCTCATGGCTCCACTGGAATTATTCTTCCTGAGCCTTCCCCTTTTTTCATTTCTGGTCAACCTTCAAGAGGGAGAATTTTCCACTCTCCAGCTGCTTTTGGTCAGCTGAGTTCTCACTGTCACAAAATAACTGAGATCTACTGATGAAAAGAACTTTTAAAGACCATTTTCACTTCCAAGGAACCCTTGACCAGGAGCATTTCACTGTAAGTTCAACCTAATACATAAGGTCAGGAAAATTTCAATCTGACAACAAAAAGAAAAAAAGAATCAGAAGCCAAATCACTTGCATTAAGATCCAATTAATCCAGTTAAAAAAAAAAAGTTAAATTTGTCAAGAAGCAGTTTTTATTCTTTGTGTTTCCAAAGCAAACTGTGTTCACACACAGATTAAGGGGGGGAAAAAAAAGAAAAACCACAGTTAAAAGATTAAAGATTAGGTGTTAGCCAAGTGTGGAACATCAGTGAAAAACATTGTATACCAATCTGAGGCAGAAAATGACAACTCGCCCATGTGTATTATCTGTGAAAAACCAATCACACCAACATGGATAATTTTGTCTCACAGGTCAAAGTAACCCATTTTCTGACCATCCCACTCCACCTTCCCAAAAAGAAACGGGCTATTTACCCTTAAACCAGAGTCATTACTCTTTTCCAGAGTAGATCCATTTTCCTTCCTCCCACAGAAACAGCTGCCACCTAGTGCGCCCTAAGGTGGTGGTTACAGCCCAGGATTCCCCCCAAATGACCATGGGTTTGGGGCAGGCTTTCCTTCAGCCCTTTGGCTTTTTTCCAAGCACCAGCCCAGAGCCTGGCCAGGACAGGCCCACAACCAGCTCTGTGGTTCACAGACAGGAGCAGGACTGGAAACACTTTAGCACTGAACCTCCTGGAGCAGAGTCCGCTTTTATTTGAAAGGTGTATGAAGAGGTTGAGAAAGTTAATTCAGCA